CCTGCTTGACTGGGGTTGTCTAAACTGCTCTTAAAAAGCAAATTGGGTTGGATTCATTAAGAGGATAACAGTGGGCCTTGATGTGTACGTTTAGTTTGTAAAATGTTAACAGTAAATGCAATTCTTATCACTTTGTCCTCCACTTCTGCATCTCAGTAAATTGTTCTAATACATAGAAAATAGATATTTCATCAATATTGAATTGTATTATCTACTTTTATAACAATCCTATTGTCCTCTGGATATCTACAGTCAGACATTACAAATCCCACCTGTATGTTAAAACTGAACAAATGTGAATATTCACCACATTGTCTCTCTCATAATCCAACTTCTGATACTGTAAATTTATAGGTTTCAGAGTAGCAGCCGTGTTAGTCTGTATCCGCAAAAAGAACAGGAATACTTGTGGCACCTTAGAGACTAAAACATTTATTTGAGCACGAAAGCTTATGCTCAAATAAAATTGTTAGTCTTTAAGGTGCCACAAGTACTCCTGTTCTTTTTGTAAATTTATACATAACTTTCCAAGCTCTCAAATATAGCTTGTGAAATGACACCACTTAGTGGGCAATTCAGTAAATAGTATTTTAGTCAATTAAAAATATTGAGTTTTAGTATAAATTTCTGGATAAATTTCTGTAAGTAATTTGCTGCACATTGAGATGAAAATATACCACAGAGTGTTTGTTTCTGAGAATGAAATGTCAGCACTGTCTGAAAACAAAGTGCAACTTCAAAGCCACCATGAGATTTTGATCTATCAAATCCAGTCACGCTGCTGGATGCTGTCTTTAAGGTAGACTTAGGGCTTGGCTACACTGGCGCTTTACAGCGCTGCAACTTTCTCGCTTGGGGTGTGAAAAAAACACCCCCCTGAGCGCAGCAAGTTACAGCGCTGTAAAGCGCCATTGTAAACAGTGCCCCAGCGCTATAAGCTAATCCCCTCGTGGAGGTGGAGTACCTGCAGCGCGCTGGCACGCGACCACACTCGCACTGCAAAGCGCGGGAGCGCTCCCGCGGCAGCTTAGAAGTTTTGAGTGTAGCCACGGCCACAGCTGATATTATAATGTTTACATTTTAGGTAAAAAAGAACTCATGGGAGTGAAGGGGACAGACAGAGTACCCTGCACTAAGGCTTCTCAGCAGGTGAGCATCACTGTGGCTTGCTTGTGGTTCGCACTAAGAAACTCCCAGAGAACTGGAATTCACTGCCATGTCCTTTTATTTTGTCTAGGAGCTTACTAGGATTTTTTAAAAAAAAGAATGAAACATAAATATGATTAAGAATATCAACAATTTTATTAAATAGGATAGAAGTTTGTAAAGGATATAAACTCATGGCCCAGGGCATAAACCCTGACTGATGGGGTTTACAAAGACAAGGTGAGTAAGGTAACATCTTTTATTGGACAAATTTCTGTTAGTGAAAGAGACAAGTGTTCGAGCTATACAGCGCTCTTCTTCAGGTCTGGGAAAGACATGACTGCATACAACAATGAAAGAAACTTCGTATTGGCAGTTTATTCCATAACTGTCTTCTACAAGAGTTTTTGCACATTTCTCTGGAGTATCCAGTATTGGCCATTGTGGTGAAACGATACCAGACTGGATGGGTCATTGACCTAACCTGGCTTCATTCCCTCTGGGCATCGTGGAGCAGTATTCCTCAATGAATGTATGCAACCCCACAAGTGGTGTTTGGGGATTATTTAGATCTACTGGCCAAAATTGGATCTCCCATCCCCACCCCAAGAGGAAGTGCATGGACCACAGGCTCTGTTGGTTCTTTGTCTTTAGGTAACAGGTTTGTCAAAGCACTGCAGAAAACTTCTTTACAAAGCCCATTTATTTGAACATTGACCAGGAGCCTAGAATTTGATTTTATACATCACATTTCATACTTGGGGATCTGTGCACTGGTCTCCATTGAAAAATCAATATTCACTCACCAGAATGTCTAAGAAACTAGTATTTTCCTGTGCAATGCCTCAGATACCATGGGACGAACACGATTGTTCAGTGGCTGGCACTAGTTTACCAATCAGTCTCCAAACAACTTAGGGCTTGATCCTGCCCCCATTAAAGTCAATGGAAAAACTCCCATTGACTTGAATGGTGCAGGACTAAGCCCTTACACAGTGAGTTAGTTTGAGTGATGAAAGAAGTGCTCCACGAGCATATTCGCATGATAATAGACCATGGGATGTCTATCTTTCACCCACACAGCAAGTGGAGACCTCAGCTTAACATATCATTCAAAGGGTGGCACCTCTAGCTACCCCCTAGTACTTCACTGTGGTGTCAGCATTGGATAGGAGTCTAAACACTGTTGTGGGAATTTGAACCCATGACTCTCTAACTCAGAGATAAGAATGTGCTACCAAGTGAGCTTTGCCTTTCAGCAGCTAAACTATCCCTGCCTGAAACATTTGCCATCAGTTTGTCTCTCAAAGATGAAGATCTGTGCCCAGATTGATCTTTATCAAACTTTAACCACATCTTTCTCTGAAGTACAGCCTCCAGTTTCCTTCTGATTGTTGTTTATTCCATCATCAGTGTGAAAACAGGAGCCTTTTTTTTTTGGTAACTCATTTTGTCCCACTGAATCATGCTCTGACATCCTTCGTGGGACATCATGTTCTGTTCATAGCATCAGACACATACCTCATGCAGTGTGATAAACTTCAGTCGGCACGCAATGGTGTTGGCGAGGAATTGTGAAGGTGGTGCTCGGAACCACAACGTTGGTGATTGAAAAAAAACAGAGGAGTCGCTCTACCCATTGAACACCTCTAAAGAATATTCACCCCTCAAATCCATCTGCACTGCACTGATCTGCTTGACAAGGGTTTCTTCACTTTATTGACTCTTTAGTACCATTTTTACTAACAAAAAATTCATCATGGAAGATTAAAAGTTGGCTGATTTTTTGTTTTTAGGTCAATTTCAGGGAAAATGAAATCAGGTCATTAGTCAGAAGAAGCAGATCATCCTGATAAAGCCATTGCTAATTTGAATTAATCTTATTTTCCATACCAAAGGGACTTTCTTAATTTGTGAGTAGAAAGGAGGCAAACCAAATGACCAGTATAGATTCCACTTGAAACAGGAAGCCAGAGTATTAAGTGAAATTTGTGGATTAAGTATTGCCAGATGTGGTCAAGTGTAGGTGATATGAGCAGAAGCAATCATTTTATCAGACAATGATTGGTGAGTGAATGAAGGCATCCTGTTTTGTAGACAGCTTCATAGAATTAGTAGTCTCTTATTACCGATTTTTTTTTTTTTTTTTTTTTTTTATAATCAGGTAATTGTTTTCAGATGAGTTCTTGTAGAAGAAATCCTGAGGTCTTTATTGTGGTTATACTCAGATGACCTGATTCTCATTTACATTAATACCCCTTTAAACTGCTCTGAGAATGCAAAGAGGCCTATAAATGTAATGTACACCTACTTTAAGGACACTGGCAGAATGGTGTAGATGGGGCTTTAGTATAAACCAGGCCCATAAATGTGTCCGTAAACATGGCATTCTAGGGTTCCTGATTTCCCTCACTGACTGTGGATCAAATTTTACAAGTTAAAAGTTGAGACCAAGATTTTCAAAAGTGACTGACATGACTCTAGAAACCTCAATATTTGGGTTTCCAACTTGAGACATCTTGTAAGGACTAGGTATTCAAAAAGTGCTGAGCACCCACCCTTAGACCAAGCCTCTTTAAAATAATCACAAATTGAGCACCCAAAAATAGAGGTTCCCAAAATCACCAGTTGCTTTTAAAAATCTTGGTCAGAGTTCTGGTATTTTTTTAACTGCCAGTCCTACAAACTCACCCTGGGATCTGAGTCAAGCTGCTTCATTCTGTCTGTCTTGTGCATCATCATCAAGTCAAAAGCTTGTGCAATTGAAAAATGGACATTCAAATACAAGTACCAATGTGTAATTGAGCTACCCTATTAAGGCTTAAATTGGGCTCATAAAAAGCAAGTGAGAAATACTGAAAGCTGAGTTCATTGATCTGTAGATGAGCTTCAAGTAGGGATGGACTCCAGCTCCCTCTCCCAAAGCTGTGCAGGGAAAGCAGGATTAGAAAGTATTAAAGTCTTATTTTTGTCCATAAGGTCAGCAGATGTGACTTGGGGGAGACATACAGGGTGCAGATCTGTTGAAGAGGAAAAGGTCATTGTTAGTTATTGTTGTTTTATTTATTATTTGCATTACCATAATGTCTAGGAGCCCCAGTTGTTGACCAGGACCCCATTTTACTAGGTGCTGTACAAACTGTGACGAAGTTCCTCCTCTATCTTGGTGGGTACTGCGCTTATTGGTGGATTTTCTTGCCTCAGAGATTCACCATGTGGGTTGGGGAACAGCCCAGAGACCTTCCCCTCTGGAAGAACCCACAGTCCAGGTCAATTGGGAGGTTTGGGGGGAACCCAGGCCCGCCCTCTACTCCGGGTTCCAGCCCAGGGCCCTGTGGACTGCAGCTGTCTATAGTGCCTCCTGTAACAGCTGCATGACAGCTACAACTCCCTGGGCTATTTCCCCATAGCCTCCTCTAAACACCTTCCTTATTCTCACCACAGGACCTTCCTCCTGGTGTCTGATAACGCTTGTGCTCCTCAGTTCTCCAGCAGCACACCCTCTCAGCTCCTTGCACCTCTTGCTCCCAGCTCCCACACTCACACCACAAACTGAAGTGAGCTCCTTTTTAAAACCCAGATGCCCTGATTAGCCTGCCTTAATTGATTCTAGCAGCTTCTGATTAATTGGCTCCAGGTGTCCTAATTAGCCTGCCTGCCTTAACTGTTTCTAGCAGGTTCCTGATTACTCTAGTGCAGCACCTGCTCTGGTCACTCAGGGAACAGAAAACCTACTTAATCTGAGGCTAATAGATCTCTCCTATAGATCACTCTCCTGTAGCCCTCTGGCCTGGAGGAAGGTAGGTAGGGGGCTGCTCCTCCTGCTACTAGGCCCTGGGCTCTCCCTACAACTGCAGCTGCTCCAGCTACTCCCCTGGCTGGGCCAGACCCCCCCTCCCCTTCTCTGCTACTTGCTGGCTAGCTGCTAGACCCCCACCCCCCACCTTTGATTGCTGCTGCTCCAGTTACAGCCCCTTGGGGGGGGCCTACTGGCCCACTCCCGAGGGAGGGAGGGAGGGACCCCAGCCATTGCTCCTGTTGCTGTGGACACCACCACCACCTCCACCTGAGAGGGGTCCTTCCTGCTGGCCACAAGACTGCCGCCTGGAGCTGCTGTGTTTGCTGCTGGGGAGCTGCTGGAGCCCCGAGGAGAAGAAGAGGACCATCTGCCAGTGGGGAGCGCGTGGGAATTCTACAGACCACTGTGGAGGGGATTCTCACAGACTGAGTAACTTTTGAACTGTGCTCTTATGGTGGGGGTCTAGACTGTGTTTGTGGGGACACAGGAGGTGTGGCGTGGAGCCTGCCCCCTGGTCCATCTGTGTCCCCCCGACCCCCACCACCACCATCATCATTGTCCCCTCCACCACCCCCATTGGCTACTCACCATCTGCCTCGAGCTCCTGCCTCTGGGACTCAGCTGCTCACCTAGGCTTGCCATGCCCTGTTGCCACCATTGGGCCTGAAGCAGCAGCCAACCTAAAAAAGACTTTTTTTCTTTTTGTTACAAGTGCACGTGCCCCCCCCTGCAGCAAGCCCCCAGCTTTGCCCCTGCTGCCTACCCATTTGCCCCTTGCAGTCTTTTTTCCCCTTTCCCTTGCCCCTTGCTAGCTCTAGTTTGTTTGCCTGCCCCGCCCTTTCCCTCTGCAGCCTTTGTCTGTTTGACCCGCCCCAGCCTCTGAAGCTAGCCCCGTGGTTCCTCTGCCCCCCTCCCAGCCTGATTGTTCCCCTTCCCCTGCGGTCCCCTTGCCCTGATTAGCCCCTCCCCTTGTGCGCCCATGTCCCCTCCCTGTTTTAGTTTGACCCTATCTCACTGCACCCCCCAATGCTGTTATATTCCCCCTTTGGTGCAACTAGAGGAGCCAGAAACCCTCCCTGAGTCGGTGACTGACCCCTAGCCCTTGATAGTCCCGCTCCCATCCAGCCCACCCCTTTTTGGCGCCCTCCTCCCCTGCCTGCAGCCTAGCGGGGAGGAGTGGTCGACCTGCTTCCCCTCTCCCTGC